TTTAAATAATATTTTAAAAAATTATAGTATATTCCTCATGCTAATCTGTTATTGAGCTTACTGGCTACACAAAATATTCTATCCCGAGCTTTTGGCACAGATGTGATAGCTAGTTATACTTCCAGAAAACCAGTGTGAGAGAGAGAGAGATGTTAAAATTCAAAGGCATCTGGAGTTGTCACCAAGATCTGAAGACTGAAAATGAGAATATTGAAAGCAATCCTAAAACTAAGCCTTTCAAGATGCTATGGTACATATGCAAAATTTCATGCTGGTCTTTCAAATAGAACTAAGAGAACTGATTTGCTATCCTGTTCAACATGAATTAAACAAACATGTCAGCACACTAACAACACTCGTACTATAAATAGTACATCCTTCTGTTACCACAGGTAGAGAGGGTTGCTCTGCATAATTTATGGTCTCTATATAGCACAATATTGAAAGAGTACAGAAACTTCTAAATTCCTGATGAAATGCAAGCATAAGTCTGTTTGTTTACTATTAAATGGGATTTACTGCAGTTACCCATGCTCTCTCCTTCACAGCTGTGGTTTTTCGTAGAGAATACCAGGGTTTTAGATAAATGACAATATAAGCTTCTTATTCAGAGTTAGTGCAGAATAACTTGTATATAGAATCATCACCTGTATTTTTATTTTTTAAGCTGTATAGTCTGTCTTTTATGTATTTTAGGAACACTAAATTAATATTTGAAATTAAGATGAAAATGGTAAGGAGCTTACAATCAAATAACACTTCAAACCTGAAAATGTTGTAAATCTATCAGATGTTTTATGTAATAGATGCATGGAATACCTGCTATGCAAATTATGCCACCACTTTCTATTTCTCCACCGAAAAACACTTGCTAAAATACAAATGATTTTGTGACAGTACTGAGGTAAACAGAATCACGTTTTATCACACAGAATGGGAATTCTGTAGACTATACTAATAATTGTGATATTTATTGTGGTTTTGTGTAGCGCGCATTTGAAAAAAACCCACTAATGTAAAGCAGAACTGGGGAGCCTGACTACTAGAAAATGCTATCTACTGCTTGCATATATAAATCTACTCATCTGCATATCTTTGAGAATGATTGATCAGTCACTTTGTTCAGATACAAACCTGAATTGTGGTAACTTCTAGAATCAGCTCTTTTTTTAAATCACAGTTTTACTTTGTGATTTACTTATGTCTGAGAACTTCAATATTTGGAAAGTAAAGAAATTGAAAAAAACCCCAAACCAAGGCATTCAAGAAGGTAATTTTTATTGAATGATTCTATCGAATGATTACAAACTTTGTAATAAAGTTGGAGCCTCCAGTTTAGTGCTCTCATTTTCAAACCCCCTGCCTTCCCTTTCCTACCCTTCCCTTTCCTATCATTCTGGAGTGTAGCATGCTCAGTAGAAATCTAAATATATGTTTAGCCAGAATAGTTTTATTAGGTATATTCATGAACTCCTTTCAAATAGTTTAGACATGTAAAGCGAGCATTGGTGAGTTTAGTAGGTTTTTGGGTTTTTTACTTGCCCAGTGTTGTAACATGCACTTTTTATAACCTACATACAATTACTTGTTGGAATCCAATTTTGTTCTATCTTCACTGGTGCCCTTTTCCTTTTTAACCACAAGTACACATTTTTTATGTTAGATAGTGCTTACTTAGCCTCTATTCTGTGTTTCAGATTTGGTTTGTGTTTCCCTCACTGCCTCTCTTCTGTGTTGGGCTTTGATAGAAATTAAAAAGCTTATTTAGAGAGCTTCATCTACAGTTTGTTTTCTCAAGTCTCCATTAAGGTTTGCCCTGTAATTGATTTCTTAAGATATTTTATGCTCCCTTCAAGCAGCTGACATATAGAAATGGATGTCCATATCTTTAGTGATACTGAATGAAGTTTTGACTATTAACCTCTTGCTATTAGACTGACATTGCCAGTTCAGATGCTGATGATTTGCATGACTAATAATCCAACCTATGGGAATTGTGTGGTGTTATACTACCTGAAGTTGTATATCAATGTTAAATTGTCATCTGGCATTCTATGTGCATTTGGCTGCTGAGGCAGTATACTAACAAAGACATTCCTCAATATTTGTACACCTACACTTTATCCTATTATCCTATTTGGATAATAAATAGCTGGCCTCTTAGGAAAAACACTGAGGACAGTAGATGTACAATGGAAACTCTCAAGCTGCCTCTCATTCTGCATACTTTGTAGACTGTCTCAGTCCATGATGGTGACTGAAATTTAAAGTAGGATTCAGTAAGTTTAAGGAACTCTCATATCTAAATATGCAAGAATCTAGAAAATCAACATTTCCCCCCCCGCCCAGTTTTCTAGGAAATTATTGGAAATAATAGTACTTCATTAATAACTTTTAAGAAAAGCTGCTTAGAACCAGTGCTGACATCTAACATTATTTTTACAGATCTACCCACTCCTGTCACAAAAATCTGGCTTTGCAGCTTTGCTTGTTTCATTTCTGCATTCAAAAAGACTTACATAATTTAACAAGTTCTAACTTCAAAAATATTTAAATTTTGAATAGATTGTTCTATGAAATGGCTCTTGCCATGCAACTTAAAAGAAAGCTTACCTCTTTTTGGAGTTGTAGATGTTGATTTTGCATTCTCTTTAATAAAGAGATGTCCTGACAATATTTTATGTAGAGATTATGTCAGTCCATACCAGACTGGCAGATGTCCTTTCATTTCTCCACTGTAAATTGTGTTACTTTTAGTCCCTCAAAGTATTTTTGAATACACATATATTGTTGATCAAGATAACTGAATGACTATAGGAAAGAGTAAAGTGCATTAAAGCATCCTGAATTATTTAGTTTTAAATTATACAATATATTCTGTAATACTGAATAAAAAGCATAGTTGGCATTTCCACTTTCATACTAATGACCTTCAGTAGACATTATTTTATGTAATTATTTAAGAATGCTAATAAGGAATAAAATAGAAGGTATGTTGGAATGTGAGTTGTTGCTGTCGTTTTAAACAAAGTCTTTATCATTGGGCAGTCACAGAATCATAGAATGATTAGGACTGGGACCTTAAGGATCACCTCATTCTAAACCCCCTACCATGGGCAGGGACACCTTCCACTAGACCAGGTAGTTCAAAGCCCCATCCAACCTGGTCTTGAGTACTGCCAGGGATGGGGCAGCCACAGCTTCTCTGGGCAACCTGTTCCAGTACCTCGCCACCCTTACCGTAAAGAACTTCTTCCCAATATCTAATCTAAATCTACCCTCTTCTAGTTTAAAGCCATTCCCCTTTATCCTGTCAATACCTGCCCTTGTAAAAAGTTGCTCTCCAGATTTCCTGTAGGACCCCTTTAGGTACTGGAAGGCTGTGATAAGGTCTCCCCTGAGCCTTCTCTTCTCCAGGCAGAACACAGACCAACTCTCAGCCTGTCTCCATAGGAAAGGTGCTCCAGCCCTCAAAGCATGTTTGTGGCCTCCTCAGGACTTGCTCCAATAGGTCCACATCCTTCTTTTGTTGCCGGTCCCAGAGCTGAATGCAGTTATGTGCAGACTCTCCAAGGTTTTCATTAGTCATTAATTGTACTTGCTTTGCTAGTTGCATTCTAGAGACAGAAATATCACTGGGCGATGAAACACTGAGTATAACTCTTTCAAATGACATGTAAAACATGTATAAGAAAATGTCTGTAGTCTTCCTCTCATAAAAGTGCTTTCTCTTAATTGCCTTCCCCCCCTTTTAAGAACCCTGACAGTAAAGCTGAATTGTTGTTTCTTTCTTTAGGCAGAAGATTAAATATTATCACCATTATATAATACAATTTCCATTTTATTTTAAACATACTTTGCAAGATATAAAAATATTGATCACAGTGAGTTTTAACAATTGTTACTGCTATAAACAGAAATGCTGCACAATGGTTTTAGTGGAAATAAATTATATAGTCATTATCTCTTTAACAAAAAAAATCACAAGAAGAACCTAGGCTGTTTGGTCATTGGCAGAAAATAAGTCCTTATTGAGTTCTTTACAAAACATGAACCCCAGTTATTTTCTACATTTGCTTTCCACATCTTGAGAAAAGCACAATGAGTCTGTCTCTGAAAGTCCCACAGGGTCTCTGGTGAACATTTAATTCCAAATATTAGCAAAGTTTCTGTTGTTCTTTTGTTCTAGTGGAAAAACGTCCGCCAAAATAGTGAGTAGTGCTCTCTTCACTAATTCATAAGTGGTCTTTTCCAGTATGTGGGTACACAGCGGCACACTTCTTCACTAAAATAAAATCCAGCATCACAGCGTTTCGTTCTGACTGTACACGGTGGTCTGTAACAACTAAAGAAATAAACAAAGAAAGTGGCATTAATATAACACGATCATTTATATCAACCTGGAGTAGAAATCTGTGTGCATTTAGATTGCCATTGATCAATGGGAGATTTAATTCCTACAAATACTTTTAACTGCGGTTTATGTTCTTGGAACTACTTTTAATTGGACTATTCTTCATAAAGTCAGTTTAAGATTACTGAATGCTATTGAAGAGAGATTATTGCAACAGATACTCATGTATATTTTTAACATATTGCCAGATTCTAGTCACATTCTAGTCTTGAGTGGTTTTATTAATTTACTTCTGAAAATGCAGCAATAATTTTCTGTACTCAAACTAGCTTGTTATGACCTATTACATGCTGCCAGTTTAAGGTGGCAATCCAGAATCAGACGATAACCAAATCTACTGTTTTCTTACCCAGGATTGTTTCTCATCATATGCACTAATGCAATAAGCCCGAGAGAGCTTTGCCTGTGTATGTTTTGCTGTGATTTGAGTCTTGAAAATGAGAACATCCTTTCTAGTTGCAAACTCCTATAAATTAAGCCCATTGAAAATGTATCTACACTTCATATTGCATCTATGTGCATGCTGAAGTAAGATCAGAGCCTGTGTTTTTATGATAAAGGTAAGAACAGATATAGTCTCTATTTGATTAAAGTAAGTTTAAAAGAAATAGACGGTTAAACCACAAGTCACATCTACCTCAAAAGTAGAATTTTTCTTTGCAGATTCCTTGATGGAAAAATAGAACTTACAAAAAAAAAAAAAAAAAAAAAAAAAATTTATGGTTGTCCCTGAACTCTTCCTTTTCCTAGTTTATTTTTCTATTAAAACAAGAACTTGACCTAGAATAACCTTAAAATAACAATGCTAAATACTTTCTGGTGTATAATGGAGACAAAGTACAAGTCTGGTGGTTTTTTTTCATATGCTGGCAATGAGTCAAGAGACAAAAGTGTATGTTTTGAATTTCAACACAGTTATACTTACAACTTGTACTTACTTACTGTGTGCCTGCTTGTGGAACACTGATATTATGACCTATTACTATAATTCATACTTACTTCAGTTCAAAGCACTACAGTATACTATCTTAAGGCAATGTCACTATCCTCTTAGGTAATTCTTGTTTCAGGCTTGTGGCTACTTCTATTATTGTTGCAGGTAAGTTAATATGTTGTGTGCTTGTTTTGGATACCAAGTTACTACTTTGCAATAATTTGTTTATGATATGAGGTCTGGATTACAGTTACGTTAATTCATGCCAGCTAGTTCAACCAATGAAGCTGACTATGAGAAAAACAATGCGGAATGAGGAAGACTGCAAACACGACATTTATTAACCAGTCACATCTTGCTCAGTGTTTTCAATGTCATTAGTCATAGATTAGTTAAACAGTGTGGTCTCTGTAACTAAGGGAGCAACATTATTTTGTGCCACAATACAGATATTTGAGATCAGTGTAACAGCTCATGGGAATCTCTCACAGCCCTGCTGATCTTTTGCCCAATGAAGTTGGAAACAGTGGTAAAAAGCAACAAAAATATTTGCAAAAGGATCTAATACTCTGAGCAAATGGGCAACCAGCAGTAGGTCTGTTCTGGGAAAAAGGTACTCCATAGAGATGCAAAGATGAAACTCACTTGCCTTTTTGCCTGTCTCTGCCATGAACGTTAGACTATTTCATGTACTGATGACTGTAAAATTAAATAAGAAACAAAAAAAGACAAAGCCAAACTCTTCCATCCACCCAAGACACGCTGAACAAAATGAAAAGCAGTCATGTAATCATTACTTATGAGGAGTTCACTCTGTTTGGAATATGACTTCTAGTGATACTTGAACTTAACTCACAGTTGAGAGTGCTACAAAGAATCTCTCCCATGTGAGTTTGTATCTGGCAGCACTCAAGGTTGGGTTACCACAGTCTTATCCTTATTTGAGACAGTTGAACAGAGCAAGAAAGCTCCTCTCCTCCTCTGAAATGCTTTGCAGCTGAGGTGCCTAGTTATCTGGCCCTGCCAAAACTGACCAAAATAAATTTTTGAGGTGCTAGCTCAGGGTGAATAGCAGCAGAGTCATTGTAACTACATAAATGTGGTTTCCTTAGGAAACTCTGCTGAACAATGGGCCAGGTCTTTCAAAAGATTTGGGTTCAATGTTGTTTACAGAGTGCTTTCATGTGAAAGATGTCTGTTTTGATGAGGATAATCTGAGCATGCTGGAACTAAGATGTTCAGTCAATAAATATAGTGCTGAGTGAGTCAGTGGCAACTCTATGATCAGTATTTGGGATTTTTGCTAGCAAATGCCTCAGTTTATCAGTTTGTTCAATTTAACAACTCCACAGATGAAACTGAAGTAGAAATGCTACTTTTAGTGGTGATGACAGAATGGTCATCTTAAAAGCCAGTATGCTTTATGGTGGGGAATTTTGTTGGTGGGGTATTTTTGGGGGGGTAGGGGAGGCGGGCGTTGGGTTTTTTTTGTTTTCTTCTGTCTTCCTATCCTGTGTTTTGTAAATGACATTGCATTCCTTTCCTCTGGAGCAGGGTATAACATTAGAGGCACAGACGTTTTAGGTACAGTGTATAAAAATGTTGATGCTTCAAAACCAGGACCTACGAGGACTACTCTGCATGGTGAGCTATCTAGGACATGGCTACAGTTCGCTCTCATGTCTAGGTCTCAGGCATCTTGCACGAAGTTATAGAGTGGTGCCTCTATTTACGTGGTCTCTTAGCTGCAAGAGATCTTTCTTACAAAGGCAAATAGGATGTTGAAGGGGCTTTATTCCTTTTAGAGAAAGCTTGTGGTGGACAGAACCAAAATGTGACAAACCTATGCTAAGAAGGAGTAAAGACTGAATCCTCTGTTTTCCTTGACAGTGCTAACATCTACAGGGCTATTGTTTGTGGAGCTTTGGAGTAACACCATGTACAGATCTTTCTTCCTCCACACTAAGATGAAGTGCTTAGAAAAGAGGAACAGCTAAAGGCTGTATAACACAGTCCCTGGAAGTAAGAACCACGTGACCACAGAAAAGCTGGGCTCAATTACCTCCTTCAAATACGAAGTCTTTAAATCAAGACAGGTGGAATAAGATATTTATTATGGTGTTTCTTAACTTTTTAAATGCCTGACTTTTCCACATGTGAATGTTCTTTTAAAATATACAGGGTTTATATGTGTAGCATTGCTGAAACTGCATACTAGAGCAGTGCTAAGGCTTTGTAACATCTAAAGCTCATGTGATCAGGTAGTTTTCTTTTATATCTTTTATATATGGAAAAATAGAATTATTCCATTCTACTCTAAAGGTCAAGAATAGGAGAACAGGTAATGCCAATTATTATTATTGGTTTTTATTATTATTATGCCAGTTATTATTATTATTATTATTTTCCCTAATTTAGGGACTTCAACATGGGTGTCATTCCTAATATTAGACATTTTTCCTTATTGAGGATGAAGTAATGTGCATATATATGGCAATATATTTGTGCCATCTCATTACATATTATATTAAAAGAATAAATAAGGTTTATTATTGACAAGCAATACATTACCATGGACATTTAGATGTCCAAATTTGCTATTTTCCATTTCCAGTGTCTGAAAGTTTCTGGAATTGTTATTTGTCATTAATTTAATTGAAAGACTTCCCATGTATTAATAAATAAGAGATCTTCCTGCTCCAAATTGCATTGTTTCTGTTTTAACAAATTCATGTTACAGGAAAATTTTCTCCCAAAATATACGATGCATACCTAATGGTTTGTTTCTCAGAACCTAAAGACATCCATATTTTTATATACAGACTGCTACTGCTATGGGTGTAGCAGGCATGGAAGGTAAAGCTCCTGTGATACATAAAGAAATAGCAGTGTTCTTCCTGACCAAACCCCATTTTAAGTGATGAATGTGGGCAGTCTGTTTTATAGTTATATATGTCTGTAAGAACGCACTTATAAATCTTTAGTATCAGTTTAGTGAAATGAAAGATATGCAAAAGATTTAGGAAGTGAAAATGAAGTAACCCTTGAATTCTAATTATGAATATTTGATTTATTTGAATTGCAATATTTAGTTCTTGAGAAAAGTAGAGTGCGATTTTAAGCAGCATAAAAAAACAAACCAGGGAGCTTGAACTTACAGCTCATTTTCATCAAAAAAACCCCCAATAAATCACATGAAGTATTAGTAAGATTATGAGAAACTAAACGTGCTTAAAATATTTATTCTGCTAGTAGTTTCCTCTTAGAGATGATAAAAATCATAGAAGATAAAACTGAAAAGAGGCTTGCTGTTTACTTAAGACTAAAAACCAATTCAACAAGACAGTTAATAACATAATCCAAAGTTTTATACTTAAACACAATGAAAGGGCTAAAGACTTGAGTTTTTACCTGCATGTCTGGTGATGGAACCTTTTTCCTTTTAAGAAGCATTTATTGGGAGATTCTATACATTCACAGATGCATTTTGCAGGATTTAGTGGCTGATGTTTAGGACAGGTCTTTTTACAAACACACTGACATTTTTCTTCATCAAATTCCTTGTTGGGCCCACAGGAAGTGGGGAGAAGTTTGTTTTTGCACATGCACTGACATGATGATCTGTCTAATTCTTTGTGAGGTCCACAGCTTGAGGGTCGTACACCTCCTTTGCAGACACATTGACAGGTTTCTTCATCCAGCTCTTTGTTTGGTCCACAAATATGGAATCCTTCAGATGGGTCTGGAAATACAGCAGAGAAGTTGCACAATTATAATAATTTCATGTTTATCCATTCACTTATTTTTAAGTAAGTGAAGAAATGACAGTAAATCTATACCTTCTAAGGTGTTTTAAGAACAGGCATATGTCAAAAGATAGTAAGTGTATTGACAAAGAAAAAGATTCAACTATTTACTTTTAATGTTTTTAATTTCTCCTCTAAGTAAATCAAAACATGGAACTACATGTAAACATTGAAGCAAAACTGCTTACCAGAATCTCCAAGATGGGAAGAGAAACCAAAATCATGCTGTGCCAAACATCTGCAAATTTGATTATTCCAAATATGATTTTTTGGACAGGTCTTGTTTGCCACATGACACCTGTGGAATGAAATATACTGTTGATTTACTACCATAAGAACTTAAGGGAAAAAAAAAAAATCCATTTTAGGTGTTGATTGCTTTTGTTTCCCTCCATCATAAAAACCTTTCTAAGAGCTTCAGCTCATTCATATTCTCATTTTTAATTCCTATCAAATCTGTTACTAATTAAGGTTCTCTACCCTACAGGAATCTTCAACCACTTATTGAAAATACCTTCTCACATTTCAAGTTTTAGCTCTAACTCCGAGGAGCTGTTATTTTTACTCTCCAAATGTAGTTTGAAAATAGATCTAATCCTTGAATGTAAGCCTTATATAGAAAATTGACTAGTATAAAAAAACCCTGCATACCAATTACTGTATAGGTGAAAGAGGCATAATTTTCTATGTTGTTTTTTTAAGCACAAAAACATTTTCACACATACAGACGCCAAAAGAAAATTGATCATAGTTTCTGGATGAATGCTCTAGAGAAAACTGATTTCTAAATCCTGGACAGCTTTCTTGAATCTGAAGATCTGGATTCAACAGTGATGCCCCTTCGCTTTAGAAATGGAAGATAATAAACAATAGTTTGTGCTCTTTACGTGCTAGAGTTTTGCAGCCAACATAATGGTACCAAAGAAAGCAAAAAACCCTAACAGCAGCTGGTGCCTTTTCAAAGGATGACTGAACTTAGCTGGTAGGTACACCACAGGTAGAATATTTATGTGTATTATCTTATCTTCCTTTGCTTGCAATTTCTTTATCACCACTTGTAACATTATAACTTTTAACAAGTTAAACCTAACTTCATGCATTCAGGCTGTGTGATTTATTCATTGTTTCTGCAGTATTCTTAAAATCTCTATCCGTTAAGGCAGCACATACGTTACACGTTTGAAGCACTTTTCATTCCCCTGAGCACCATTACTCATGCATTCAAAAATGCAGGTGCTGGGACATTATTCTGTGCTCATCATTCAAGTATACCACTCCCCTTCACCACATTAAACTACTCTGCTTGTAAAGACTGCTGTAGTTTAACATCACCCTGCATCACCTCATCTTTTATCAAGCTGGTGTTTCCTGATTTCATTCCTCTAATGAACTCACTCTTGCTCCTTGACTTGGCGCATATGTCCTTTTGCCTGCCTCCTGATTCTGCTTGGAAAATAGTAGGGATAATTTACAGAGACATTATTGTATTCTGTTTTAGAAAAACAACAAATCACTCACACCTGGAGCAGCCTGGCTCTAGCTGGATGTATGAAAAAATACACCAAGCACACATGAACCCATGAGAACACAATATTGATATAAACCTCAAGTTACTAGAACTTGAAGAGAACGATACATATTCCAGCATCAGGGCTGGAGACACACAGCAAAAGAAAGTGCAAATGCTTATTTACAATTTCCGCTCTGGTTGCTAACACAGAAAATTACCAGTGCATATGTCTGAAATGTTAAAATGACTTAGTGTAACATTTTAGAAAGTTCAGGAAGGCTAAAAAATATCAGAAAAATAAATATCAGAGGCAAAGTCACTTTGCAGAAGATTTCACTACCTCTTTCCAAATCATTATCAATTAAAGCATGCTAACTCGTTACCTGTCAGTGTCAGGACAGCTAATATGTAAGAGGGGGAAACACACGTGTATAATATACATCCAAACCACATCTAAAATATGCTTATCAGCTCTGCAAGCCATGGGAATCTGAATTATGTATATTAAAGGTCCCTCTGCTCCTCCCTGCCAAAATTGCTAAACTTCTACAATAGTGACAATTTTCTCAGTTTTACATCTTGATGACACTGTATATGAACAGAGAAGAGTACAATTTAAGACACCATTAATCCAGGAGGTATTCTAAAACATGAACTGACATGTCCCAGCTCCACAAGAATGTAGAAGTAGCTACTATCTTTTAGAAGGAAAAGGAAGAAAAAAGTGGGAGAACAGGCAAAGACTTAGACATTAACTCTCAGGATAAAGTTGTGCAGAAAATGTGTTTTATATAAAAAAGGATTGACTATTTGTGTTCTATCTTACATGTCATGTCTCTTCTTTCTAACATGTGCCTGTACATTGTGGCATAATCCAGTCTTGAATTCTTATTACATCCTCCCAAGTGTTACAAGCCTAAAAGCAGAGATTATACTCTTAGGCTTCTCTTCTCAGTAATACATAAGAAAGTCATTAATACATATTTGTTAAAAAGAGCATGTACATAAATACAAGGGCACATGCAGATCTGCCACTGTGACAAGTATATATCCAAGAGTAGGCTTTACAACAGTTTCACCAGCATTCAAACCTATAAATAAAAATCTTAAGGAAAAATAAGAAGCTGAAAAAGAAATTGAGAACTCCAGTAGAAATTAAAAAACTCTGGTGGGATTCTGAAAAGCATCCAGGCACCCACAAAGAACATGCAAGTATCTTTCCTATCTAGAATCTAGAAGCACTTAGCTTGGGGTTTTGGTGGGTTTTTTGTTTGTTTGGTTTTTTTTTTTTTTTCCTATTTTATTGTAGAGAGACATCGATTTTAAACTTAAAGACAGTACTTAAGAGTAGAGAAGGCCTATACATATTCTGATCTAGTACTACTTCGTCTTGTCTTTGTTGGAACATAATTCCTTACTTACAGGACAGTCGACTACCTGTAAGTGCTGGTCGAAGTCTTTTATCTGTACGCTTACTTCCCTCTAACTACAGGTAGCTGTTTTCCATCTAGCATAAACTCTTGTAGTGGTAATTACAACTGCTCTTAACCTGGAAGCACTTAGAAGCTGCCAGCAGTCAGCATAATCTGACTTTATTATTGGCTCTAGAGTTTTGGTTTTTGGTTTTTTTTTTTTTTTTTTAAATTATCTGTTAATTGTGCAATAATTAAATTATTAATAGATTTATTTCCCTATATTTTTCTAATTTACTCTTTACAATCCTTGTTTTGATGAACAAATTCAGTAATTTGAATGCAAATAGAATATAATCTGTTTAGCTACATGTCAGAAAACATCCAGATTTTAACTGAATGTAAACAGGGAAAGCAAGGTAGCTTACATCTCTGAGAATTTTGCACTATTCACTCACATTATTAAACATGTCTACAATTAATTCCAGTTCAGCTTCTAGTCATTGGTTCTTCCACAAAGCAGCAGTTTTTCTGTTACATATTTTTTTGATTTATGCATCATAAAATCATTACTCGGTCCTTTAAAATGAAGGGAAGGAGCTCTTCAAGTGTTTTAATACCACTTGCTTCAGTACCAGATTTATTTTTTAAATTCAAAATCACAAAAAAAAAATTGCTAATTATGTGGACTGTCAATTAACTCTTTTATTTTCCCTTTCCATTCTATTTTCACCTCTGGCATATAAAGGTGTCAAAAAAGATTTGTAGTTAAAGATTCCCTAAAAACAGGCCTTTTTTTTTTTTTTAGCAGCATTTGAAATAGGAAAATACAGTTAAGAGAGAAATGTTGTCTACTCCTCATTTGCAAAAGGAAATATTTTTAGCTTTTCTTGATCACTTGTTTTTTTAAAGAAGTTGATTTTTTCGATGATTCCTTTAAGCCTCAATTGCATTTTACCTCTGTCTACTAAAAAACCACACAAACAACATTATTCTTAATTTTTAAATCACTTAACCCCAGTTTATCCACTGGGTAGTGTTATTTTAGTAGCACTCCTTCATGTAAAACAGTATTAGGTCCTTTGCAAAATGCATTCTGCTACTACTAATGTGTAATTCACATAGTAAATTCATCTATCTTAATTGTGAGAGCTTCCAGCAATCTTTTATATCAAATTATGTAGGCTTTCTCACAATGTGAAAGGAAAGACAAAACTCATACTTACTGAGTTTGTGTTGCTGGCAAGGAACGTCTTATGATGGAATGAACTTGTCTGTAAACATCCAACTTCGACATGCATCGGCAGGACGTGTGATTGGAAAAGCTGACGGTTACAGGTTTGGGGCCATGAGAAAGAGGCACTGTGATCTCAAATAACTATAAAAGGAAAAGAAAAGCAAAGAACTTTTTTTTATACACCAGTAACAATACAACTAAAAATAACATAAGGACATGCAGAAAAAGCTATGACAAATTTAAGTTTAGGTTTTTGTTGCCTACCACCATTCTGTGGCATATCCAATTATACCGCCAAATAATTATTATGCACAAAATGAATACAATAGCTATAGTATGACAATTAACACTTTTAGGGTTAAACCCTGTTATGTGCCTGTTTGCCTACTATAACATTTAAACTAAAAGAGGAAAATGTACTAAGAACTCATTTTTCTAGAGGAAATGCCTTGAAATTGGCAGTCTTTTCAAAAATCTAAAACTTAACCTTTGGAAGGTGCTTCAAAAAGTTGGAAACCAAGAATAACCTTGAAAGGGGGTAAGCTACAACCTAATACATCAGTTGCACAATCACAAAAGCTTGTGTAAAACAGCAGTATATTGGACTTAGATCAAAATATTTTTGGATGAACAAGTTCTGAACTGCAGCATACTGTACTTTTGACTTACCAGTGCTTCTATCAATGCAAACTATATGGTTACCCTAACAGAATTTAACATTCCCCCCCCCCCAAGATATTAAGAAATATCTGCTATTAATAAAATAATCAAGTATGTGAATGAATAAAATCCTAATTCTAGTGGGAAACATAGTTCAACTGGTGGAAGAGGACAACTTCAGCAATATCTTGTAGAAAAACTGAATATATGATAACAGACAAACAATGACACTCATTTCAGTATTCAATTTGGGACACCTACTTTATCGAATTAAGAAGGTTTCATTGTACGACTCAAATCTCAGTAGTCTCCTGAAAAGTTAGGGTAAATATTTTAGGCCTTTTAGGTGTTTAGTCACTTTTCCACAAATATTTGAGAATTTTTGTGCATCTTCTGGGGACTTTACCACATTTATAAACATGGTCATTAGTTATTATTCCAATTTCTAGGGAGCTACCATGAAAAGAGTTTTTCTCATTAGAAGGGCTTCTAGCCACAGTATAGTAACACTTTGATTCTTGCTCCAGCTGCAAAATAAGTAACACTGAAAATTTTGGTCTGGAGTCATTAATAAGATAACAGCACACGTCCATGTCTTGTTTAAAGTTTGGTACCAATAAATGAATGCCTAATTATCACTAGACATACCTTCAGGGTTTTCATTAAGTTTGACACAGACTTTTGGGAAGAGACTTTCTAATTGAGCTTTTATTTTGCTTTTTTGCTTCAAAACCGAGGTGAGTATCTCCCGAGAGGACGCCT